GGAGGAGGGAAATGGTTTTTTTGAGTTTTTGATTATTTGGTATTTAAGAAAGAAAAATAATATTTGTAATATTTTTTTGGTTTTAATTTCATTAAGGGTATTAAAGTAATTTACAATTAATTATTTATTTTTTATTTTTTTGGTATTCAAGTAAGCAAAATTTGGGATTTGAAATAGTGATCCCCATTTAATATTACTGGATAAGCCAAATCTTGTCAATAAAAATTTTGCGATTAAATTGTATCCATAATAATATTTTTTATGAAATTTATATCCACTAGGAATTCAATTTTGTTTGACAGTAGCCTTGTTCGTACCATATGATTTATGCATGTTTGAAATAAAATTAAGAAAATAAATTAAAAACAATTATAATTATACTTTTCATGTAATTAGTTTGGTGCGACTAAAATATGATAAGCAACGTTACATGGTAAATAATTTATGTTAATTAAATTTCAAAAATATAGTATCAACAAAAAAAAAAAAAAAACTAAAGCCATGAGTTATAATTAAGCATATGTTTATCAAGGCAATATAATCTTTTAATTTATGGTAAAAATATATTACGCTTAACTCTCTCATTTATTTATTATGGTAATAAAATCTTTTGTTTTATGGTGGGAGTAACGAAATTGTATTTAACTCTTTATTTTATTAAGGCAAGAAAATCCTTGAATACAAATTCCATAAATATTTTTTTATATTATTTAAAAATATAATAGCACAATTAAAATAATTAATTTATATTAAAAAAACATTGGCTGGCGTGGGGTTAGTTAAAACTCATAGCCCATAGGTGAGCTGGATCCACACTCAATACAGCCAAAATTAAAATTGAAAGAAAAAAAGGAAATTTTAAAAAATTACCAAAATCAAGAACAATAAGAGAAACTCCTTCAATGCCTTTAATCCCATATAAAAATTGCAGCAAGTTTATGTTCATCTTCTTCCCTTTTATTCTTCCACCCCGATCATCCCTATAAAAAAACATGGGAAAAATTCAATCTTGAAAAAACCCCCTTTCATTTTTTCTTTTCAGTTTCTTGAATTTCCGTTGCCCGGCTATAAATTGTTGAAATTAGCATATTTCCTATCTGGGTTGTGTTATTTGTATATAAGTATTCAGTTTGTGTTCGGTGATTTTTGAAGGAAAAGATGCATCTTGAAGTGAATCCCGTGCCTTTTGCCGGTTCGACTGCTTCTTCATGGAAGTCCGGCGGCGGCGGCGGAGTTGTTTCCGACCAGTTTCCGGCGGGTCTCAGAGTTCTTGTTGTTGATGATGATCCCACTTGTCTCAGAATCTTGGAGAAGATGCTTCGGAATTGCCTATATGAAGGTAACATATAAACACACACACACACACGTGATTGTGTGCCACGTGTTTGATTTTTATTTTGTGTGGGGCTTGTGTTTTTCTTATTTGTGGATGCATACAAAATCTTATAGTACAACTTGGGCAATTGTATTGTTATTAACTGTAAGAAATTGTGTATTGGAGTTTTAATTGTGTGCTATGTGAAGTTATACAGTTGTTGAAATCATTTAGATTAACTTGTCAATCGTAAGCAGAAATTGTAATGTAGTTATGTCTCGTTTTATTGCGTTAGTCGACACTGTCTTGATTTTAATAGTCTCGATTCGATACATACTATTAATCTTCTTTTTTTTTCTTCGATAATTGTAGTTACGAAATGCAGTCGAGCGGAGGTTGCATTGAAGTTGCTTAGGGACAACAAAGATGGCTTCGATGTTGTTATAAGTGACGTGCATATGCCGGACATGGATGGTTTTAAGCTTCTAGAACATATCGGACTCGAGATGGATTTGCCTGTCATCAGTAAGTACTGTATCTATCTTCGTAAAACTCGAAAACAAGATTTTTCAATGTCGTTTTCCGATTCCTGTTTTTGTGACCCTTTTCCTAGAAAAAAGGAAAAAAAAGGAATCTTGAAGGTTCTATCTACCGACTGATTTAGTCGAATGAATAATAAATTAATTTTTGGGTTCTTGTTTTTTTGTGATTGATTTAGTGATGTCGGCGGACGATAGCAAAAGGGTGGTGATGAAAGGCGTGACGCACGGTGCTTGCGACTATCTAATAAAACCGGTTCGAATGGAGGCATTGAAGAACATATGGCAGCATGTGATTCGCCGAAAGAAGCATGAGTGGGGGGACCACAACGAGAAAGACGTCGAACAATCGGGAAGCGTGGAAGATGGAGAGAGGCAGCAAAAACAACTATCCGAAAATGATGATTATTCTTCTTCGGCTAATGAAGGGAGCTGTAAAAATTCCAAGAAAAGAAAAAACGAAGACGAAGAAGGTGGAGAAAGGGATGAAGATTCGTCTTCGTCGAAGAAACAAAGGGTTGTTTGGACAACTGAGCTGCATCAGCAATTTGTGACAGCTGTTAATCAACTCGGAATCGACAGTACGCATCTTTTTCTCCTTTCGTTTTTTTGCCGTATTTCCTTTTTCCGATTTATCGTTTTTTCAAACTCTAAAGCATATATAAATGCAGAGGCTGTACCTAAGAAAATCCTGGATTTAATGAATGTTCAAGGCCTTACGAGAGAGAATGTGGCAAGCCATCTTCAGGTTCGACAATTTTTTTTAAAATTTAAATTATCTTTTCCTAAGTTCATCTGCAAGATTTTCTTTTTCGTCGAACTGTATAATTCGTTTACTTACATTTTTTTACGCTTCGAACCAATTGATGATGCAGAAGTACCGTCTTTATCTTAGAAGGCTAAGCGGACAGCACCATAACGGAATCGGAAACTCGTTTATGGGTCCCACAGATGCTACGTTTGGACAGTTGACCTCAGTCAACGGCCTCGATCTTCAATCTCTTGCTTCTTCTTCAAGTCAACTCTCGCCACTTGGCAGGTCAACTAATAGAACCCCTGTTTCTGTGCCTTTAAATGATCCAAGAAACATTTTCTCCTTCGAAAGTCCAAATATTAGGTTCGTACACGGTCAACAACAACAACAACACAACGGTGTTAATCGAGGGAATTTACTTCACGGTATTCCGACGAATATGAATATGCCGATCCACCCCCACTCAAGCCAAAGCAACTCGCTACTTACACAGATGGTTCAACCACCACAACAGAGGAACCAGATTTTCAACGATGGAGTATTTGGGCAGAACGGAATTGACGGTTTTGCCCCTGCGTACACTTCTATTCCCCAGCCCTCTAGTGTAGTAGATTTTTCAAGAAGTCAACGCACGTTTTCAACACCTGTGAATAATAACTTTGGAATTGCTGGTCTTGCCTCGTCTAATAAAGGGATGCTCCCGCAACACGATATTGGATCGGAAATCAATGGCTTTGTTCCTACTTGTGATGTGTTTACCGATGTAAATCAGAATAATAATCGAACAGACGATTGGGGATTCCAAAGTGTTGGACCGACAACTTTTGAAGCTCCTCAGCATTTGAATGTACAAAGCGGAGGACTTGTCAATAATTCGAATCTCGTCCCACAGAATATTCCGTCTGATAGTTTATCGAGAATTAGGGGTGAAAGACTACCGGATGTGGGATTTCAGAATAGCCTCTTTTCCGATCAAGACGACGACTTATTGAGCACATATATCAAACAGGTCACCTTCTTCTTTATTTATATATAACCTTTTTTTTTTTTGCAGCATGCATGCATGCATATACTTTAGGGTTATGAATGTGGGATTAGTTAGATAACTGTATATTAATTCTTGATTTTTTCAATTGCAGAATCATCAAGACGGTTCGTTTGACAACGAGTTTGGCTTCGACGGATACCCATTGGATGATCTTCCCGTATAGCTTACTGTAGTTATAAGCTCTTTGTACATAGTTTCCGTCACTTTTTTTTTTCTTTAAAAAAATTAATCCTTCAAGAAGTCGAATCTTTCGTGTTATTTTTATTTTTGCATATATCAGGTGGTGGATCATTCATGATTAAAAACAGAAGGAGAAACGGCACAAGAACGAACGCATAGCTATTATCGGAAACTCCATTTGCTTTTAGTATTAGGTCGTTGTAGTTCAGTGAAGATCGTGGTTTTTCGTGATTGCCCTTTTTTTTTTAATTTGGAATTGTTTTTTTTTTTTTTTATCAGCTATCTGTAAAAACCTTGGCTCTTCTCTGATTCAATACAAATAAGCTTCCGGTTTCATACAAAGGTTGAATGTTTGTCGAAGGTTGTCAAGTAATAGTACAATGTATTACGTAAGGTCTGATCCTGTCTCTGTAAAGGGTACTCGTTAGGAGCAGCCCTTATCGTAGGCGATCTTTGCGCAGGCGAGGCGTACATGGCAGATGCCTCAACTATACGGCGTCGTATTGTTTCTTGATCTTGTAAGTGTATTTCTGCGCGTAGTAATGTGATGTATAGGCCCGAAGCGAGGAATACTGTGACTAGCCCCAATACTCCGGCTGCCGTGAACAAGCCTTGTCGGATTGTTAAACAATTCGGCTTTGGTTCGGCCCAGTTCTTGAGATGGCCCGATTCGACGCTCAGCCCGATTAGTAGTAGAATCTCTCCCACAGCAAATGATATCCTGTTTTTTTTTTCAGACAATCAAGAAAATATTAATGACGCTTTTAGTTGCAAATTATTAGTGGATTTTTTTTGAAAATATGATCGGTTTTAAGGGTTCGAGAGACCTAAGACAAATTAACAGAAACGAGGCCGTTTATGAAAAATCTAAGTCTGCGTTTGAATTTGAAATGAATGAATTAGAACTGAGTCAAAATGGGAGGAATTTGAAATCCAACACAACAAGAACCCTGAAAATCGATAATTTTTTTAAGGCCCGTGTTTGTTTTCGGGCTGGGCTTCTGCAATTGTTGCATGAAAAAAACATTACTGTTTTATAGAACATAATAAGATGATGATCATACTTTACTATATATATATATATATTTTTAAATTAAAGTATTTTGTTAATCCTCGTACCATGTGGAGACGAAGAAAAATCCAGCTTGCCACGCGAGACTCTTGGCAAAAACAGACTCCGGGTCCCACGTAATCTCAATCAACGGCTCCGATTTACTAACAGCAACCAACAAGTAGACATGCTGCACCACCATAGCCATTGCTAGTGCCAAGAATGCAGCAGTTGCTGATAGGAGAGGCAGTTTCCCGCTACCGCTGTACGTGCAACGAGTTTCTACTTCCTTCCCTCCATCGATCCCGGCCGTCCATTTCACCTTCACATTTATTATCTTATAATCAGATCATAGAATATATTATAATTTAATTATTTAATTTGTATTTGTACCTCCGAGCGCGTGGATTCGGCTATGAGAGAGAGAATGAAGCAGAAAAGGCCTAATAATATGGAAAATATCATGAGAAATGCACCGGCTTTGCTGCCGAGATTACCGCCTTTCGGGGTCGGAGCTAGATCATCATGTGTTACTGCCATTTTCCACACAGTAAAGGTTTTCTATGAGAAAACAAAAAAACTGTTATGAAGTTGAAGATGGATTGAGGAGAAATATTTAATTTGGAACATTAAAAAAACTTTTTTGTATTTTGGGATTTAGAATTGCTTGTAGCAAAGGTTGCTTAAAGGTAAGATATTCCAATATTCTTTGCCACTTATTTATTTATTTATTTATTTATCATTATTATTTTTAATTTAATGAAAATCAAATTTTGCATAACTAACTTATGACATAATTCAAAAGTAGACATGAACGTTCTGATGAAGAACTGATGATCATGCATGCTGTCTGAACCACCTGGTTTTATTAGAATTTAATTTAAATTAAATTAATTTTTTTGAGGTGCCTTGCATGTTAATTTAATTTACTATTAAAAAATTTGAACCTCGTTTAAATTTGAACTTATAAGTAGAAGAATACTATTTTATTTGTCTGAATTACGAGAATACCCAACCCATATCATGCATTTGTTATTACGAGTATGAATAATATTCCTATTATCCTATATGGTTTGCAATTTGTGCATAATTGATGTGATTACCAAACAATTAAAAAATACTAAAAAACAATTATCACGTTTTAATATTGTCAATGAGCAATGTGAACTTATGTTATAGTGTAGCATATATTCCTCAATTTTATCTAGATTACTTAAAAAAAATAATTAGAGGCATCTTAAAGAATATATATAGAGTGTTTATTTGACCAACTTTAAAGCATAAACAAAAATAATGGTCGGTTTGCTCTCGTAATCTACACAGAGTCACTTGCTGCAATCAGTAGGTCATTTTTTACGGGACAAAACATCACGCTATTAAGTCATTTATTGGGTGTTAGCGACGCACTTGTCAGTCGCACAATATAAAATAAACCCCAAAAATAGTTTTTACAGCTAAGTCAATTAAATTTGAAAAAAAAATTGTATAATAAACTAATGCCTCAACATATATTTAAGCATATGTTTATCAAGGGAATAAAATCTTTTTATTTATGGTAAATGATTTATACCTTTAATTCTCTCATTTATTAAGGCAACTAAATCTGTTTTTCTATATGGCAACTAACTTAAATTTTAAACTTTCAATTTTACAAGGCAACAAAATCTTTGAAAGTTTGAATACAAATTTCAAAATTATTTTTTAATTCAAAAATTTCACCAAAACAAAATATTAAAAAAGGCAATATTCGAGAATTACCCATGTATGTAATAGTACAATTTCGTAGTTTAATTGTAAATAAAATAATTTTATTAAAAAAAAATTAAAATAATTGGCTGCCTCATAAATGGGCTTGTCCATATGTAAGACTCAACAAAATGGGCCCATTTTCAAATTAAAAAAGCCCATAAATCAAATCAATAATACAAAAATAAATAAAAAAATAAAAAATAAAAAAATCAGGCATATAAAAAGCTGCAAATTTTGTTTCTGCGTATTCTTCTTTCCTCAAAACACACACACACACACACACACACACACACACACACAAACACAAACACACACACACACACACACAAAAACGAAACAAAATTCAATCCCCGCATGTAAATTGCGCCGGAATTAACTCGGAACATGCGATTTTTTAACATGTTTCCTCTCTGGTTTGTATTGTTTTTCATACAAGTATTGATTTGTATTTGGTGATTTTTTTTAAGAGAGAAAAAAAGATGCGTATTGAATTGAATCCCATGCCTTTTGCTTCTTCATCGAATTCCGGCTGTGAAATTGTTGTTCCCGACCAGTTTCCGGCGGGTCTGAGAGTTCTCGTTGTGGATGACGACCCCACTTGTCTCAGAATTTTGGATAAGATGCTTCGCAGCTGCCTCTATGAAGGTAACATATAAACACACACACACACACACACACACACGTTGGTGTGTGTGTGTACCATTGATAATCTCTTTCATTGGATTTTTTTTACTCTAATTTAGTAGTAAGTAGTGAGTATATAGTTATTGAAGTTCATCAGATTAGATTATTGAAGTTATTGAAGAAAAAAACTAAATGGTTTACTTACAGATCTTATGAAGAAATGGTAATGTAGTGATGCATTGTGTTACATTGCATTTGATTCTATACATATATGAACTTTGTATCTATTGCTAATTTCACATCCACTGGTCTGGTTAGATGTACTATTTTCAAATTTTCATTGTTTCTTTTTAAGTAAGTAATCTTGTGTTTTTTCCCTTTTTTTGGGAGTGATTTTTAGTTACGAAATGCAATCGAGCGGAGATTGCGTTGGAATTACTTAGAGACGAAAAAAATAGCTTCGATATTGTTATAAGTGATGTCCACATGCCAGACATGGATGGTTTTAAGCTTCTAGAACACGTCGGACTCGAGATGGACTTGCCGGTCATCAGTAAGTATTGTGTCCACTTAAAATCGAGATTTTTGTAATTTTTCGTTTTTTCTTTTCTGATTCTTGTTTTTGGTGAGTGTTTGGTTAGTGATGTCGGCAGACGATAGCAAGAAATTGGTGATGAAAGGTGTGAACCACGGTGCATGTGATTATCTCATAAAACCCGTTAGCATGGAGGCTTTAAAGAACATATGGCAGCACGTTGTTCATCGGAAGAAGCACGAGTGGGCCCGCAAGAATATCCAACAATCAAGAACCGCCGCTGAAGAAGATGTAGAAGAGCTGCACCAGAAACAACCATCTAATGAAGAAGTCGGTTATTATTCCTCCTCTTCGGCTAATAATGAAGGGAGTTTGAGGAGTTCGAATGAAAGAAAAGACGAAGAAGATGAATGTGAAGAAAGGGACTGTAAATCCAAACCGAAGAAGCCACGTGTTATGTGGTCTAAAAAGCTGCACGAGCAATTTATATCAGCTGTTAATCAAATCGGAAGCGACAGTATGCATCTTTTCTGTGTTATGTTTGCCTTTATATTTTTTTTTGTGGCCCGAATATTTTACGTACTTTGTGTGTGTCTTACGCAGAGGCTGTACCTAAGAAAATTCTAGAAGTAATGAATGTTCCGGGACTTACAAGAGAGAATGTTGCGAGCCACCTTCAGGTTCGACAATTTTTATTTTATTTAATTATTTGTGTACTCATTTTCTATAGGCATACCTCTAATATACTTACTTCGAAACACACGAACAAATTCGTGCAGAAGTATCGTCTCTGTCTTAGAAAGATGAGTGGAGAGATCCAAAATGGACTGGGACACTCGTTTGTGAGTTCCACAGACTCCACTTTTGGGCCGTTGACTTTTGCTTCTTCAAGTCAACCCCGACAACAAAGTCTTGCCCCCGTATCTGCCTCCTTAAACGTTCATCAGAGAAATATTTTCACCTACGAAAATCCAACGACTAGATTCGTGCAAGGGCAGCAACGTCATTTCAATAGTGATAACGAAGTGAATTTTCTTCGTGGGATTCCGACATATAGGAACTTGACAAATATACCCTTTGGCAACATGAATAACAGAAGGGATTCAAATTCACTACTGACAGAGATGGTTCAAACACAACAAAGGAGCCAAATTTCGAATAACGGAATTGGTTGCAATAATTTATCGAATCACAGTTTTAGCGCACCGACATTATTCTCAGGAATTGCGAGTGTCACCTCTCTCCCGCACAATCTCGAACCAGAAACGAACGCTTCTCGTGGTTTTGTTCCTAGTTTTGATGTTTTTGAAGACCTGAACCAGAATAGAACAGACGAGTGGGACCTACAAATCGTTGAACCGGGATTTCAATCCGTCAACAATTCGAATATCGGGCAGCAGCAGAATATTTTATCTCCGGCCGATAATTTGTTCAGTTTCCAGAATAGCTTATTTACGGAGCATGACGAATTTATGAACACGTATCTCGATCAGGTCCGCTTCTTTTCTTTTATGCATGCGTGATTAATTAGATAGATGGATAAATGTGTATTAATTTTTCTGATTAAAGATTTATGAATTGCAGAATCAACAAGACGTATTATCCGAGAGCGAGTTCGACTTTAACGAATACCAATTGGATAGTTTACCTCTGTAACAAGCCTGTTTTGTACATAGTTTCGGTTTCATCTCAAGTTCACCACTTCTGATCATCGGCAGAAACGAAAAACACTCGTTTTATTTTATTTTTAATTTATTTAAATTCTTGTTATTGCTCTTGCTGCATATATATGGAAGGAGAAATGGCAACTGAATGCAAAAGTGTGGTGGGAAATATTTTTGGTTGTTTTTTGAGTATTGTAGTTCAGTGAAGAGCTTGGTTTTTGAAAGAGCTTTGGCAAAAGCGGGTCAAAATTGGAGGATCCGAATTCAAACCGAATCTTTTGGTTTGGGCCTATTTTATAATAAACCTTTGGGCTTCGATGTAAAATTGGACACCTGGGCCTATTTATATATAAATTTATTCTTCCATTATTTTGGACCTCATTGAATAATTTTTTTTTTTTTGTCTTTTAAAATGTATGTTTTATGATAAATTTAAACAAATAAAAGTACTGCAAATTCGTCCAAATTTTCTATTATACACATTTTGAGTATAAATAGTGGTAGAAATTGGAACGTAATTTTCGATTTTCGCCTATTTCAGTCCAAAAATTTTCGATTTTGTAACAACATTTTTCAATATGAATTCCGACTTTCAGTTTTTGGAATTGAAATATATATGAGATTCCGAATTCTGATCTGTTAGTTACGAAAATAATCCCAAAAAATTCCGATGTTTATGAAATATTAGAATAAATAAAACGAGGAAAAAGCCAAATATTGAGATATTTCATTTATTTTTTTACATGCTTCTCTCGTGTAAGGCAATAAAGTCCACCCAGGAGATTTTTTTCTTTTTTCTTTTTTTCGAATTCTTAAAGTTATAAAATAGTAATAAAAAAATTAAAAAAATAAATAAAGTAAAATTTGAAACTTTTTGAGTCAACCGATTCCATATTTAATAGACGCTCCACCTCTTTCAAAAGAATTCATACCATACACCGCGACACAGACAATCACTCCCCAGCTCGAAAAGTGGGTCCATCAATTCCTATTTGGAATTTGAAATCCAAAAAACCTCTCTCTAAAGAGACGTTACAAAGTTTTAACCTTTTCTGGAGCAACAATTATTATTTAATTTCACTTTCCAAAACATATTTAATTTCTTTTGAAAGTGAAATATATATATGTAATATATATTTTTTGTCTCTCTTCCATTATTTTTCAAAATCACCAAAAAAATTAAATAAAATAAATAAAAATTCCACTGCCTCCCTCATTTATTGCTTAAACTGTTCTACTCCTGAGCAATCTTCCATGACAGCTCTAACTCTCACTTTCTCTCTCATCAACTTCTTCCATTTTCTCTCTCTAAAAAATCCCCTCAATTCTGAGATAAAGTTTGCATCTTTGCTACAGAGAGAAGCTCAGAATTCTTGATTCCAAGTGGACTACTGTTGTTGTGTGAGTTTTCTTAATTTCACTTTGTTTTTTTTTTTTTTACTTTTGTGTTTTATGATGATCCTCGGATTTATCCTAAATTAATTTTCTGTTCGCTAGGGTTTCATACTTGTGATCATAGATGAGTTTGATTTGATTTGATTGGGTTGTGAATGAAATGAAGTTTGGTGTTGAAAAACGCTGATGAAGTGTTCCAGGTGAGGATTGGGGGAAAAAATAGCTGAGTTTGAATAATTTATTTTCCTTTTTCTTTTCTTACTATATAAACTTGTAAATGGAAAAAATCCCCTTTAACATTTAATTCATGTAATCAAACTCCAGCTGTTTTCGTATATTTTTTCGAGGTCAAACAGCTGGTTTTGAATGACCGTATAATGCGATTGATTATAGTCATCCGATTCTGGTTCAACCTATATTCGCTTGTGCTTACCGTACTTCGATTACATCGTCACTTAAAGAATGCCTGTGATTGTTATACTGATACGATTTATTTAACCGAGAGCACGAACACATTGTTAGTAGTTTTTCGGGCTAAGATTTGATTGGAATTTTGCAGTGTAGATTTCTCAATGTGTCAGAGTTAGATCTTTCGTTTCTCGGAGCATTATTCCTCGACGAATTATTGAGTAGAAGCATCAAATTTGAAATTACCTCTTTGTATTTAATTCGTTAGTATGGGGATCGAGAAACAAGGCTCCAAAGGTGGAAATTATGTCGGTGGCTTACTCCAAATGTTCGATTGGAATGCAAAATCTCGCAAGAAGTTATTTTCGAGCAAATCAGATGTACCAGGTATATCACTAAACTTCATGTGTATGCAGTTTTCTTTTATATATTTTATATAAATAATTACTGTCTTTTTTCTGGTTAATGTAGAGCTATCCAAACAGAAGAAAAGATGTGAGGGAAATTCGCCGATGACCAGGCTTCATATGGTAAGAATTAATAGGAACGAAAAAACAGAAATTTAATTTATTTTTTTTTATAAACCAAATATTCATTTTAATATTTCTTGAAGGATGTGGATGAAATTGGAGCTGGATCAAGTATTAGAGGAAGTAGCGGTTATAATAGTTGTGCTTCTTCAGTAACCGATGAAGATTTTTATGCCACAAAAGCCCCTGGTGTAGTTGCAAGACTAATGGGATTAGAATCCTTGCCAAAATCGAACATGTCCGAACAATATTCGACTCCACTTTTTGATTCTCAGTCTCTGCAAGAGGCTTATTACCGAAATAAAAGCCGCGAATATTTTCAAGATCAAATTATGCACTCCGGTAATTTGCAGAAAGTACCTCTCAGAAACGATTTGGAGCTGCTAAATTCGAGGAAGATAATCCAACAAAAGCCACTCGAGAAGTTCCAAACCGAAAATTTCCCACCTAAATCAGCTAAATCGATTTCAATCACTCATCACAAACTTCTATCTCCGATTAAAAATACCAACTTTATCCCTTCTAAAGATGCTGCTCAGATAATGGAAGCTGCTGCGAGAATAATTGAGCGAGGTGGGCCGCGCTCGAGTACTAAAACGAAGCTGCCTCTGTTTGGGTCTTCTTCTTCGGTTCCTCTAAAGGTACGAGATTTGAAAGAGAAGGTACAAGCATCCCAAAAGCCGTTAAAGATTTTCGAAGGCGGCTCTCAAAGAAAAGGTGAACAGTATATGAATAGAAGCTTCAATGAATCGGTGGATTCGGAAGAATCTTCTGTTTCTAAGAGAAATAAAGGGAAATCGATTTCGCTTGCATTACAAGCAAAGGTGAATGTTCAGAAAAGAGAAGGGCTAAATGTGGATAGAGGGAAATTGCCTTCTAAGGAACCGTGTGAGATAAGTCCGAATCATGTATTTAAAAGTCAACAACAGTCAATGGCACGGAATAATATGGTGAAGAAACCATCTGTTCAGAATAGTTCGAGTGTGCTCCGACAGAACAATCAGAAGCAGAATTGCATTGTCGAGAGAGGGAAATTGCCTGCGAAGAAAGGTGGCAAAATACTCGGTGGAGAACCTTTTTCTACAAGGAAACGGAATTCCAGTAAAATTTCATGCACGAGTAAAGCTGGTTCAAGAAAGTTGAGCTCGGAGGTTAAGGAAGAAAAAAATGAAGGATTTTCTTTGTCTAGATCGGAAAAGATTACTTCCAAGAAACGGTCTGTAGATGGGAATTACCACTGTGAAAAAAATCAGATAGATGAAAATTCGAAAGACGTTCAATCGAGTGCTATTATGGATAAGGCGAGTTCTTGGGAGCAAAATTGTGGGAAAATGGGAACTGAAGTGATTTCGTTTACTTTCACTTCTCCGATGACAGGTTCCGGAAGGTCAACAGAAGCTGGGGAAAACGGAACAATCTGTAAAAGGTCACAATTGAACTCAAAATTTTCTTACATTGGAAATAGTAATGTGAGGGGAGGTGATGCATTAAGCACTCTTTTAGAGCAGAAACTACAAGAATTGGCTCGTAAGGTAGAGTTTGCTCAAGAGAAATCAGTCATGCAAGATGGGAATAAAGCCAAAGATGGAATGCACACAGATTATCAGGTAGTTATAATATTATATCTGCTGTTTTGTTTATGATATATCTTTTGATAAAAGATTATCTGTAGCCTTAATTCGTAAACACACTTGAAATATGGTGATGCTCGATCGACGTAACTGGTTGACTATGCAAAATGTTCTGATAAAGATTCCAAAATTTACATTTCTATCATTTTAAGGATAGAATTTGCACATGGGCCAGAGAAAAATCTCCCAGAGTTGGTAAAAAAATGCTAAAGAAATCGACAAGAAAGTAAATGGGGGCATTAATATAACTTTGTTATGTGCTGTTTAAAAGCAAAAAAGATAGTAAAATTCGATATATTATGCTATTATGTGTTTAAAAAGCTAAACATGTAAAAAATTATAATATGCAGGGAGTACTAGAGGAAATGAGCACAAGTGAGAGCAACGCATCTCAAGCCAAAAACTTAATCGATTATCGGCTTCCAAGTCCAATTTCGGTTCTCGAGTATTCCTCTTTCGCAAACAGTTGGAATTCTTCAGAGACTGGAGACTTTAATAGCATAGGAGGTGAAAAAAATTGTGTTTTGCCTTTTTACTATTTTTTTATCAGAACTGAAAACTGAACTGAGTTTTTTTGCTTTGCATTTCAGGTAACAAGCAGTGTTCATCAATTCAAACACAAGATTTGCTCGATAATAATACGTGCTCCTTAAAGACGTTCCTTAAAGATGCGGATCTGTCAGACTCAGCTTCATCAACTGTCCTAACCTTGTCCGATTCTGATAATCCCAAAAGGTGGGAACTTGACTATGTGAAGAGAATACTATGCAGTATCGAAATCATGTTTAAAGATTACGCTTTGGGAAGAACTCGTGAGATAATAAGCCCTCGTCTTTTCGAGAAACTAGAAAGTTCACAACTTTCTAGAACCAACCAGAGAGTTCTTTTCGACTGTGTGAGCGAATGCTTGGATTTGAGGTTCAGACAGTACGTTAATGGAGGTTTGAAATTATATGCTAAGGGTTTATCGGTTGTAAGAAGAAAGGATAGATTAGCTGAAGAAGTGTACAAAGAAATCTCGAGTTGGAGTGCTGTTGGAGATTCGATGATTGATGAACTAGTGGATAAGGATATGAGCAGTCGATATGGAAAATGGCTCGATTTTGATATCGAAGGATTTGAAATCGGTGTTCAAATTGAGTCCCGAATTCTCAATTCTTTGATGGATGAAGTGCTGGATGATATTTTGGTGCTTTAATGCCAGCTTAAAACTGAAATCATTATACTTAACCTCGATTGTAAGTTATTCATCTTAATTGTTTTTAGAGATTCGTTTTCTTTTATGATGCATTTCTCGATTTTTTTCCTCTGTTTTTTTTCGGGTTTGATGATAGTCTATGAAATGATAAAGAGAATATATTCATGCTCTTAGAAGATAAGCGTAAAAGAACATGTCGGAAGGTTCCGAGATAAAACCAGAAGAAGCAGAAGTGCATTTAACTAAAATATTGTCTAGAATTACATTAATTCCTGAAATGTATGAAGATTGAAGTGACAAATAAATACAAATACATAGATATTTTATTATGATAAATCTAGTTTCTTCCGTTTTCTCTTCCGATGAAAACGAAGTGAAAGTTTAACTGTTTATGCAGATAACTTATCATTCCCGATTCTTGATCTTCTTCTCCAAGCTACGACCAAATCAAAATATCTCCATCTTCACTCCACAGATCAATCTGCTCTACACCTCCACAGTTATAATCCCATTGAAGAAAGTCATCGGTGAAATTGGAAACAATCGGAGAAAAGTTCGAGCATTCGTACAAGTGGGCCCCATAATCGGTATTTACCAGATTGTTCTCACATTCCATTAATACGTCTTCATCTACCTCCATTGGTCCCTCTATTTCTTCTGTAGGTGCAACCATTAATGCAGCATTAGCCCATTCGTCTGTGAATAATAAATCATCACTAAAGAACGAAACATTCAAATTTTCTTGCTCGTCGTTTCTCTCACTAGTGTCGTCCAGCTGGCGGTCCACTGATACTTTTTCCCCCGGACCCTCGTCGTGCACCACCACCCCCACCTCCACACTTGTGGGAATATTTTCAGTTTTTGTTGACGCATAATGCGAGTTGTTATTACCATGGTTGTATTTTTTGGCATTTTTCCGGCTAATTCGACCGGCTCGTTTCTTGGACGTGTTAGCCATGCTGATCATATCTGATGCAGAGAGTGTGGACTCACCGTTAATGGATCTGAACCTGTAAATGCTTCTGCTTAAATGAGAGTTCCAATAATTTTTTATTTCATTGTCTGTTCTTCCTGGTAAATTGCTTGCTATTATGGACCACCTATAAATAAAAGCAATCTCAGTAAAATTAGGCAAAATGCTATGATTATGTATCCGGGCTAAATACATGCTTTAAAATATATATATATATATATATATGATTTATGAAATTCTACTTAATTCGGATTATTTAATTCAATTTATATTCATAACAGTTAAAAAAATTTATGGAGAGACCACAAATAATCAAATATTACATTATTCAAAAGATAATACTATTATTTATCTATATAATAAAATATAGTTATTTAGTTTAAATAATAGTAGGAGTACTAGCCACCTCAAATGTAGTTGAGAAATAAACCATCACTTATTTTATGAAAGAGAGTGTTCATGGTGAAATAAATAAATTAATTAATTAATTAAGTACAGGAGACCTAATATTTACTCGAATATTCAATTTATGTACGACAAGTCATAGGTTGAAATAGATATTACATGTCTCTGTCCCTATCTCTAGGTGCAATTCCATTATGGAGTCATTATGACTTTTCACTACTCTATTATCGGACGGATGGGCGTGGTACAGGTCGTTTAAGTTTTAATAATACTGTTTTGATTTTAAACTATTTTGAAGTTTGAATTTAGTAAAATTCAAAACACGTAATCTGTAGTTTTTTAGTTAAGTTTTTAATCTAATTTGAATAAACAAAGATTCGAAGACAGGTGAAAATTGAGAACAATTCGAATGAATCAATGAATATTATTGTCCACGCCTTTGATGTTTTGAATTAATATTCAATATGTAATTAATTGATGTATAACTTTGTCACGAAACATTCGATCTATAAGCTGATTCAAATTGGATCAGAAAGCTACTGTTTGTGTGTTATATCTTGCCAAAATCAGAATAGAAGAGGGTCAAAATTACATTTGAAATCAAGACGGTATTAGTAAAATCAAAACGACATTTAACATTTCAGATTTTCCAAGTCGTCCCCATCAACTATATTTTTCATTACGTACCCATCGTAACTATATTCATGAGTTCGAAAAACTAACCTATTTCCCAAAGTTTTGTGCAATTTGACAATGGTCTCCTCTTCATCAACAGTGAAGTTCCCTCTCTTGACATCTTCTTTCAAGTAGTTAATCCATCTTAGTCTGCAACTCTTTCCACACCTCAACAAACCTTTCATTTCCCAAAAAAATTTAAAAATAATAAATAGAAATTATTTATGAAAAAAATTAGGGTATATTAATACCTGCATTCTTGGGTAAGGATCTCCAAGAACCATCTCCATTGGCCTTGATGTAGTTGATAAGTTTCTCATCTTCTTCTGCAGTCCATTTCCCTTTCTTTAGTCCCGTTTTTTCGCAACACGGACTTCTCCCCATATCTCTCTCTACATGTATACGCTAAGACAAACTCGATCGACAGACCACTCTTATAATAGACTAGTACTCTAGCTAGGGTTTATATATACATAAATATAAGAGAGAGATATATGCATGTGAGTTATATATATGTATGCATGTGGTAATGAGGAAGAACCATTTAAGTTGGTGCAATTGTCTTGTTCAGTAATGGTGTGAAATTATTGCAGTGTGTTAATTACCATCGATCTTCATTAATTATGTGAGATTAATATATATGAATTAAATAAACTAATTATTCTTCATTAATTAGTGAGAGCAACTGATGATAGTACTTTATTATTATTATATATCACGCCAGTAAATCATGTGGCAATTCAATGTCGTGGATGCATTAGATTTCGCTAGTTTTAGTACGTCAACTGTCAACTCTGAAAAGTGTGTTTATGTGCACTGTGTGCATGTATTTTGGATGTATATTGTCTCTGTGTGTGTGTCTATATATATATATATATATATATATATATATATATATATATATATATATGGATATTTGTAATTTATCTATAGATATTATTAAACGGAAAATACAAATTTCATTCCAGAAGTTTGTACCGTTTTCACATTTGTTCCTTCATGTTTTAATATTTTAACAATTCAATGTGGCAATTTTCGTTAATTTTCTGTTAGTATTAATTGAATGAAGCATGTTCCCATCACTGCACTAACTAACGGAGTAATGGTAGATTGGCGGAAAAGACCGTTAAACAATTGAAATATGAGAGACCACGTGGGTTTTTTGTGAACATGGAGGTCCAACAATGACGGATCCATAATGAAAATTCAGGGTATGCCGGCTGTGGTGAGTTCAGAAATTTAATTTACTATACAGTGGGGTTAAATTTTCGGGGGTTCAAGGGTAGCGCCCCCGAAAAAAAAATGAACCTTTTTTTGTTGGATAAATTAGGAGAAAAGAAAAAAAAAGAATTGAACAAAAATTTAGGACTTTTTTGTATATTTTGAATTTTGAGTGGACTAAATAATAATGTAGATATAATATAATGTGTTTTTGGGGAGAGGGTCTAAAAAAAAGAAAAATATTAAAACTTTTTTGTATATTTTGAATTTTGGGTGGACTAAATAGTAATATAGATATAATCTAATGTGTTTATGGGAGAGGGGCTCAAAAACAATACATTTTTGCACCATAGAATCGAACTCATGAGCTCATCTAACAACTCGGACATCTTTACCACTAAGGCAAACCTCTTTTCATTATTTGGCATGGTCCATGACATACTTGGCCATCTCTAAATCCGCCCCTGGGTCCAAATGTGAAATTGCAAACTTCAGGGATGAAAATTGTAATTTTTCCTTATTAATAACTATAAGTAAGATATACTCCGTCACAAGAATGAAAATAAGGGTAAGAGAGAGTGATAATATTTTTAAAAGAATAGTCCACAAACTTCTATAGCAAGTGAAATATTAAGTTGAATGAATTTTATTGAAATAATACTTTTTTTGTTGTTAATTCCTAGTTATTAAAAATATTATTTTGTTAGCAAGTGATCCCATCTTCTGGATAATCCTAATCATATTGTAAAAGGTTAGGGAGAAAGACACAAAGAGATTGGGGATATGTAAGTTTCTCATGGGAACCAAACCTCGTAAAATCTCGTATTCACGGGTATTTAAAATCTCGTATTCACGGTTATTCTGTGTGATGTGTGCGAGTGCATGTAATCTAGCTTCTAATCTTCACTTATCTCAAGCATAATTTCACTGTCCGCGGGCGGGGTATGCATTTCATGGTTGTACAAGTTGTCCTCTCGAGAAAACATTAATTAATCTTGTGTAGAATATAGAAGATTATCGTCTGCGTATAAATTTAATTTAAATAAATTAGACCAATCGAGCCACATTTTGTTCGAACATTAATTAATCTTGTGTAGAATATAGAAGATTATAGTCTACGTATAGAATTAATATAAATAAATTAAACCAATCGAGCCACATTTCGTTCGATTGTTGATGACTTTTCTGCGAATTTCAATAATACGAAACTAAAAATTTCTTTCAAAAGATCGATAGTTAAATTGAAAGTAATGAATTACTTGATAGTGAAAAAAATCATTTGAATCCAAATGTAAACTTTACATATAATAAGTAGAAAAAAGGAATTAAATTAAAGTAGGTCAGATGATGAACAAACATATGCACGTGAGAGGAAAAGAGTGGGTAAATAGTGCTTCTTATATTCCAACTCCATAATAGTATACATCTTGCCTAGCTATTGCCTGCCTATTAGTCTATATATTGTGTCCGACTGGTCATATTTTTCTGCTTATGGAGCAACAACAAGTTACTCTCGGCAAGGCCGGAATTCATTGGGACTCGTAACAAGTAGTCCAGTGTATTGTGGTCCATGCATCCGAACCATTCATATGTATATATGGGCTAGCAGATAGACGACACAAGAAATGGATAACTGTCAACAGAAAAAATAAATGTAGGGTTTGGCAAACTCGAGCTCGATATCTAGACAAACAACAGTAGTTCCAACACATGGAACTGATCTTAGTGTATGTTAATTTTCAAACGGGCTTGGTCCCCTATTGTCCAGTGTCCAATCTAGAAATCCAAGTAGGTGGCAACTTTAATAAAAAATCCAACGCCAAGCCACAACCGTACAAAACCCAGAAACGAACTCCCACAATACATATCACATTGAGTTGACTTACCAACACATGCATGCTGAGTCAACCAGTCAAAAGGGACACTCTCACACTTAGTAAACCCCTGTTTTCTCTCACTCAGACACTCAATTACTTAAAAGAAGAAAATTCAGAGATGCGTATAGATAAGTGTTACATTCATCCCTCTTTCTAAGGGTATGCAGTATAAACAGACACAAAATAATAGTAAGAGACGACAAAGTTGCTCTTAAGTCAAAGTCAGCCATGGACGTCGAAGACTCTATAAAGAGTTGTCGGAAAAAGACAAGTTGATAGCGGAAGTAGCGTTCATAGAGAAGGAAACAAATGAGGAGAGAAAAGCGGCAAAAAATTCAAAACCGAGAAGTATTGTTGAGAGGAGAAAGTTAATTAAGTCTGAACGAGTAGACCTCCACAAATAAACGAAATAATCTGGACAACCAAATTTAAAAAGGTTAACTATGGATTGGACTTTAAGTGTCTTGGTCATTTTGAAGAGTTGGGCCGTCGAAATTTAATTAAGCTTGGGCCCAATAATAAAATTCATTTACTGGCCCAAAACTTTAGAATTTATTTTATATGGAATTGGTGGAAGAGATTAAATTCTGAACGAATCAGCCGATATGTAATATAAACCGGATTCCACTATAAATTGGATTCTACTAATTTTTTGATATGTGACACTCTTAAGTCTTAAATCTTAATAAATCAGGCTGATTATAATTAGGGTTAGAGGGGTTACGGGTTATGTTTTTTTTTTTTTTTTTTTTTTTCAATTATTAGAATCCTGATTATACATATAATTTTTTTTCGGAATACAACGTACGTTGATGTGTTTGTGGGAGCCATCGTGACAATTGCATCTGCTTCTTGTAACATGACCTACAACCAAGTCAAAAATACAGGTCTTTATAGAGAGATGATTGAAACGAAAGGAAACAAGCAGAAATTGGTAACAGTCAATCTTGATTGAGAAACATTATATATTCTTCTCCCGGCGGCGGGGGTGCTCCGGTAGCGGTGGCGGTGCTAAATATTGAAAGGGCATTAGTCTTGATATATGAATAATCAGTGTGCAGATCAACGTACGGATGACATAAAACACGTTTGAATTGGATGTGTCTGAAGATTAAGAAAGGATAGGTTAGCTGAAGAATTAAGTCTACAAAGAAATCTCGAGTTGGTTCGGAGTGTTGTTGGAGATTCGATGATTGATGAAGTACTAGTGAGTAAGGATATATGAGCGGTCGATATGGAAAATGGCTTGATTTTGATATCGATGCATTTGAAAATTGAGTCTCGAATTCTCGATTCTTTGATGGATGGTATTTTGGTGCTTTTAGAGATTCGTTTTCTTTTCACGGTGCATTTCTCGATTTTCTTTTCTCTTTTTCTTTTTTGGGTTTGATGATAGTCTATGAAGTGATAAATAGCATATATTTTCTTGCTCTTGGATAACAAACGCAAACTAACATACCTGTCGGAAGGTCCCGATCGAGCAAAAACCATAAGAAGCAGAAGTATTAATTTAACTAAAACGTTGTCCGAAATGTTTGCAGTGACAAATAAATACAAAATACATAGATCGTTTTATTATGATGAGTCCTCTACTTAAAATCTTGTATTCTTTCATTTTGTTTTTCGATGAAAACGAAATGATCAAATCAAGCTACGACCAAATCAACATATCTCCATCTTCATTCCACAGATCAAGTTGCTCTCCACCTCCACAGTTATAATCCCATTGAAGAAAATCATCCGCAAAATTCGAAACAATCGGTGAAAAAGTCGAGCATTCGTAGAGGAGGTGGGCCCCACAATCATCAGAAGTATTTAGCATATTGTTCTCACATTCCATTAATGTGTCTTCATCTACCTCCATTGGTCCCCTCTTTTCTGCCCTTATTACTTCTTCTGTAGGTGCAACAATTAATGCTGCAGCATTATTATTATTATTATTATTATTATTATCATTATTATTATTATTAGTAGTGGTAGTAGTAGCCCATTCCTCTGTGAATAATAATAAATCATCGCTAAAGAACGAACCGTTTATACTCTCTCGCCCGTCGTTTCTCTCACTAAGGTTGTCCATGTGGTCCACGGATACTTTATCCCCTGGACCCTCGTCGTGCACCACCTCCACACTATTGGAAATGTTCTCAGATTCTGGTGATGCAGAATGTGAGTTACTATTACTATTGTGGTATTTTTTGGCATTCTTTCGGCAAATCCGACCGGTTCGTTTCTTGGCTATGTTGATCATATCTGATGCAGAGAGGGTGGACTCATGACCATTAATCGATCTGAATCTGTATATGCTTCTGCTTAAATGAGAATTCCAATAGTTCTTTATTTCATTGTCTGTTCTTCCTGGTAAATTGCTTGCTATTATGGACCACCTATATATCACAATATATATAGTTGACCAACCTCAGTACTAAATTAGTTACACAAAAATTACTATGATTATACTTGTCACAGTACAAAACTACGGAGCTAATAACAATAACAACAACAATAATAATTAATAATAATAATAAATAAAAATAATAGATATTTTCGTATGCTGGCTCCGCCACTAATACGGAAGATGGTAATGAAAGAGTAGGACTAGCCACCTCTAATGTAGTTGAGTAATAAACCATCACTCTTTTTTTTTTTTTTTTTTTTTGCTTTTTTTTTTTGTGTGTGTGTGGAAAAAGAGTAGTTAGTGTTGATAATGAAATTAATAAATAAATTACGTATAGGAAACAAAAGATTTAATTATCTCGAAAATAGATTTGATGTACGACAAGTCACATAAGGTTATTGGAGTAGATATTAATTAGCAATAAAATTTAGGTGTCCCTATCAATAGGTGTGTAATGACTTTTTACTCTATTATCAAATCTTCCCCTTTAGGAGTATGTTATATGCTGCTGGTTGGTGAGACTTGCTACTTCTATCACTTTATTCAATTTTAACTATATCTTTCTTCACAATATATAGTTGCTACTGACCAACCAGTCAACCCAAATTTTTTTTTAGAAAAAAATAAAAAATAATAATCCATTTTTTTTAGTGGAAAATTACTAACCTATTTCCCAAAGATTTGTGCAATTTGACAATGGTCTCCTCTTCATCAACAGTGAAGTTCCCTCTCTTGACATCTTCTTTCAAGTAGTTTATCCATCTTAGTCTGCAACTCTTTCCACACCTCAACAAACCTTTCATTTCCCAAAAAAAAAAAGATTATTTAAGAATTATAAACAAGAAAATTGTAAAAAAAAAAAAAAGGAAAAAAGAAAATAGTGTATATTAATACCTGCATTCTTGGGTAATGATCTCCAAGAACCATCTCCATTGGCCTTGATGTAGTTTACAAGTTTCTCATCTTCTTCCGCAGTCCATCTCCCTTTCTTTAGTCCCGTTTTTTCGCAACACGGACTTCTCCCCATACCGGATCGGAGCGTGACTCGACGTCGGAGAAACACAGCAACACCACCAAAAGCACCACCACCACCACCTTATATATATGTATGATGTATAAAATGTGAGAGAGAGAGAAATGTGTATATGAGTTATAATATGTATGCATGTGGGTAAAAATGGGGAAGTACCATATATATATATTTAATAAGGTGTTGCAATTGTGTATTGTTCACTAATAATGGTCCGATATTATTAATTGTAGTGGCATTTATTCACAAACTTTCTGTCTTATCAGTTATTACTTAAGAGGTCAAGTGTGTGTCTTTTATGAATGTATAATACATATACATATAATTCCTCATTAAATGTCAGCAATTTAGATACTTTTTTTTTCAGTTTAAAAATAGCAATGTCGTGGATGCACCAAATTTCACTAGTTTATTTTGCCACGTATCACCTCTTGCTCCCATGCAGTAACCAGAAGCTATAAACCCCTATTAAAACTCTATAATCCTAATTAAACTATTGTTTAATATTACTATATATATATAATATATATCCACAGTTTTTTTTATTTTTTTTAAAGTTTTTAGTGTGTGTATACATATAGTGCGTGTACTTTTATTGACATTTTGGGCGGGTTTATATTTTCCGAGGTGTGTGAAGTGTACACGTGTCTCTTTTGTTTATCTAGTGTGTGTACTTTAGACTGTATATCTAAATCAATGTTTTTTTTTTTTAAATAGAACCGAACATATAAAATCAAATAGTCAATTCGGTCACCGTTGAAAATCATGTTCAACTGATCAGTTTTTTATAACTTTATTTTAATGCAATATTTATACGCGATTTACATTGCAAATTGAAAAGAAAATATTCATTATAAATTATCATATTATGGAGTCAGATTAAATTTATTAATTAACCTTCCACAAATGATTTAAACAAAAATAAAATAAAAAATAATATTATATATTATATTTTAATGTAAAAACACACAAAAAAAATTGATGTTGTACCTGGTCGAACCCAATTAAACCCGTGACCCAGTTCATTCGGGTTTTGATGGGTTCGATCGAATTACCGACTATATCTTGATGTAATAAACTTAAACGGCAAATAAAATAAAATAAAATAAAATAAACAAATGAAATGGGGTTAGAAAATGTGTCACTTGATCCCACACACAGCAGCAGTATTTAACGTTTAGTGAGTTGTTACATTAATTTGGCCATGCTCCTGTCCATTCGGACAGCAGACAATTAACAATTTAACATAGACAATATATATTATATTATATTATTATAATGTACGGAATATGCGTTTCATGGTTGTGTGGAGAACACATTGCAAAGTTGCTGCCCCCATAAAACATTTCTATGTTTCTAGAATATTACCTTACATACATTATATTTTTATACATTCTGGATTTAAATTGCTTAATCGAGTTTGGGCAGCAGCATAGGGTTCGGGGCCATAAACAAACCACATTTTTCAAATCTCTATTAATATAAATATAATTTCTTTAGCATTACCGACTTCCCCTCCAATTTTTTTAATACATTTAGTTCTTATTTGGAACTTAATATTCTTGCTTCTTATAATTTATTTTTTGAAGAAAGTAGGGCAAAGAAAGGCGAGCTTTTTTGACGTTAATGCTTGACAAGGTACTCTTTTTTGCTTTATGTCTGAATCGTTATTTTATTTATGCAGGAAAATACATAAGATGGTAATAGAATTGAAAATGAGTTATGATAAATGAATGTAAAAGATTTAAAATTTAACTTGACAATGCAAGTACTTTGAATAAACCACAAATAATTCATGACAATATTATTCAACTGCAAACATAAAATACTTGTGTTAACTTTGGATCACAATAAATATGTAATACACTATATATATTATATATATATTTTTAGGGTAAATTACAACCACCTCTGAGGTACGACAAAATTACGAAAAACCCCCTCTTATTTGGATAATTACATCTACCATCAAGTATGAATCTTCTTATACGTCCACCCTTATGGTGTCAAATTCAACATAATCTTTTAGATTCCATGGAATGTGCTCTAATTTGTACTCGTTTTGTGTAAAAATACAGTTTCTGATGCACCACAATCTGATATATACAAGCTAAAAAACACACCTTATGATCATCTTGCTTAAAAATGTGGAGCTCGAACAATATAAAACGGGTACAAAAGTGATAATATTCCATATAATCAAGAAAATACCACTAAATTTAAAACCGCAAGGGTGAACATGTAAGAAAATTTATAGTTGAGTGGTTGTTGTAATTACCCAAACATGAGGGGGGGGGGGTTTCGTAATTTTATCATACCTCAGGGGTTGGTTGTAATTAACACTATTTTTTATGTGAGTGAAAAAGAAGTAAGAGAAACAAACATATGCATGTGAGAGAAAAGATAGTTTCGTAATAGTGCTTTCAATTCCGTATAATGGAAGTAGAGTATATTGCATATATATGTTCGACTAGTCAAATTTTGTGCTTATGGAGCCACCACGAGTTGAGGTTACTAAACCAGTGCCCGAATTTATGAGGAGCAAGGGGGTCATGGTCCCATATTATTATTTTTCATTTTTTTATTTTTGCTTTTCTTTGAATTAAATGTTTTCTATCTACTAAATTTTTATCAAATATCTAGCAATTCTAAGATTTTTTTCTTTATAGAAACTTATTTATAACTATAACCCGAATTTGAACAAATCGTATACTAGCACACACTTTGTTTTGCTATAACCCGTTAAAATGTTCAAGTAATTGTAACACTCAAATACATACTATCGAAGATGTTTTATTCAAATGTAGTGAAAAATTGATTCATATAAAACATGTATTACTAATTTTTTAATCGTCAATAAAAACCTCAACAAATCGTAAACTATAGCACACATCGTTTACTTAAAATCGCTGAAACATTTTTTTAAGATGTTTGTACATTATCAATAAATAATTCATCTATAAATTATTTAGCTAATTTTTGAATCGTCAAACAAAATAAAAAACAAATCATATCCTATATAGCTCAAACATATAGCTGAAATGTTTTTGAAAACTCACAAGAAAAAAAGTTAAAAAATTGTGTACTATAGCATACATTTTTTTGCCGAAAACAGATGAAATCACCGGATATGAAAAATAGTTGAATCCTCAAGGAAAATCACAAAAAATCATATACTATATTATAGCACACACCGTTCCCCTAAAATTGATGAAATATGTCATCTAACAAAAAAACACTCATTTTCAAATAATAAAGGAAAATCACAAAAAAAAAAAAACTTATAAGCACACAACAAATAGATAACAGTCAACAAATTAAATGTGGGAGTCGACCAAAACACGAGGTCAAGCCCATTTTTAGTTTGTTCACAAACCCGTGACTTTTTATATCGAAAATAATATACCCGAATGGCTCGTAGACTTCTCATTTTCTATTTTCATTTATATCATGTATATATCCATAATAAATATATTATGTTGTACGAATATATGTAATATTAAAATAACAAATTGAGCTTGAGCTCATCAGAATATACTCGAGCTCGTTACACCCCGATGCAGACGTATTGAACTCACGGGGATTGTATTAGAGCTTGAGCTAATTTAATTTTGTTAAGCGACCATTCACATTAAGAGAAACAAATGCACATTTTCACAATGCAAAAGTCACGAGCTGCGAATAAGTTTTACAATTATTATACATAATCTCCCCCATCTTAAATGCTGCTCCTTTCACACACACACACACACACACACACACACACACACACACACACACACACACATATATATACACCTTGAGATGAAAGAAGTAAGGAAGCTCACCGAAGATCGACCACATCAAAGGACAAGGTGGAATTCATATAAACATGAGAGCATTCCTCATAAATGGTGCTCCCATCATCAGGCTCTTCATGAGGATGGAAACCACGGTGTTGACAGTTTCTAATTACAGAAACGCCACCAGGATCGGAAAGATGGAATATGCCATGTGGACTGCAATAAATGGAAAAGATAAAGTTGGGGTCAAAGCAACTCTAATAATACATAATTATATTAGGAGAAAATAACCACAGTGAAAAACTGCTTAAAATCAAAATAGTTGTCTGGAAATTGTTGGAATACTACGTTGATGTGTCTGTAGGAGCCATGACAATTGCAACTGCTTCTGGTAACATGACCTACAAATAAGTGAAAAGACAATTTTCAGAGCCCACATGTGAACTAGTAAAAGCAAACAAGTGAAATTGGTATTCTTCTGAAACTAATTGACAGTACATTGGTTTCTTCTTTAAATCTTTGTCCTTATAAGACAGTTGATAAGTTGTACCTCCATATCACTTTTACAGGTGCAATGTCCGCATAATGTTCTTCTAAGAAATAGATCTAGTTTGGTATAGCCAATTTCATATACGTACTGCGATGTAAAATTGATAGATTTGGGTGATAAATATCACAAAATTTACTTAATACAAGCCATCAAAAAAACAAATATTGTGACCCCACCAAACCTTTCACGGATAAGCACATAAGCAAAATGTAAAGTTCATTTGGGAGAGAGAAAGATTCTAATTATTTCCAAATTAATAAATCATGATTTGTATAACCTAACGAGCATGTGGTATAAATAATATGGACTGTAAGAAACCAGTTTTGATTAGCATCTGTAAACAATTTAATGAGGTATCAATTTTAACACGATCTTAATATGTTGAATGAAAAAGACCAAGTAAATTAGGCTAAACAGAAGGGAGTGGTATGAGCCAAATGGGGGGAATCAAAGAAAAATCAAGGGATGATCGATGCATATCTTAATTGAAAATTGCTTTTCTTCTCTCCACTTTTTGAATGAAAAAATTGCAAGAAGGTCCATCGCCCTTCTTTTTCCTTATATTGTTACCATCAAGATAAGCAAAAAATTGGGAAATTGAATAAATGACAATATCAAATATCACACAGAAGAATGCATTTGGCAATACCTGATATGAATAATGCGTGTGCAGGTCAATTGATGACATAAAACACGTTTGAGTTGGGTGTGTCTGCAAATTGCCAAAAGTAGAATCTAAGAGATGGTTCAAGCAAACATACATGGTAATCACAAATGAACTAATGTTTTTTTTTGTTTTTGTTCATATAATGATCATACTTATCGTCTCTTTCTTTCCCAAGTTACTAGGATTCTGTCTAAAGAGAGAAAAGTCTCTGGAACCAAGAATCATAAACAAACAAGAAATATAGAATTGATGTGCCTCTTCAAAACCAAAGTAGGACGAAATCTCATATAATAATGGCCAGATTTCAATAAACAAACATTCTACTCTGCACAACCTCTGTACAGTGAACGTAGAAAACAGAAACTATGAAGCATGCAAAATCAGTAACTTGAGATCAAAAGATGAGAAAAATAAGAAAACAATAGATTATCAAGCTCATGATCGACAGTCTTGTTTTTCCCTTTTGTCTACAGTAGAAGCATCACAAACATATGAAGAATCGTGTTTTCCCAATTCCTAACCACTAGAGAGAGAGAGAGAGAGAGAGAGAGAGAGAGATCATGATGCCGAGTATCGTGTTAATCACTAGATCAAATCTAAAATGCTAGGGAGCTTATTAATGCAATACCTCAAGTAGTAGCAAAAATGAGTTAGTCTAGCTAGTCTAAGCCAGTAAGCCTCCAAGACTTACATGAATCCATCCAAGAGAAAACAGGGAACGTTTGTCTTGAACCTCAAAAATCTCTTCTTCGTTGAGTGTCTGGCACTAAACATAAATAAAACAATAACTTTGAGCTTATATTTGCCATTTTGATCAGGAAGAAAAGTTGCAATGATATGATAACGCAATAAAATTAAAATAAAAAATCAGCGTGCATTTCTGCACTGCAAAGTATGATATTTTGTGGTCAGGATATTTCTCAATATGAAGTACGCAAAATACATCAGAAATAAATTGTCCCATTTCAAAGGGACCATGTTTCATAAAAATCTTAACTTCCAAAAGAATGGAGAGTGAAATAATGCAAAATTATAATAGCAGTAGAAGCATTTCAATTTTCCTCCATTCGGAAAATGCAGCTCAGATAGAAACTTAAGATTAAATAATAAAATACCGTGTCCGAAGTTGACTCCTGCTTCGGTATTATGAGTGTAGTAATATGAAATACCCTATCCTGCTGCAAATTAGTAAACAGGATGTCTTAGATGCCACAAATCTGCATGCTCACAGTAAGCAGTCATATTTGTCACTAGAAAGCAATAAAAGAAAGTGAAGACCTACAAGTGAACCAGCAAGAATACCACAAGTTTCCAAATTCTTTGCAGTATTGTCCCATGCCAATCTCAAAAATTCTTCCATCATCTTCACTGGCTGCAACATAAGCAAACAAAAGGGCATCAAATCCCCCAGAACAGTAATATCAATTACAAGACTGTCTATTAAAGATAAAAACAAACAACTTAATCTATGTTAACTCACAATTTGAAGGCAAGGCGGCAATTATCTATTTAGATTACAGGTTAAGGAGCGGTACAACAAACTCACAATATGAAGATCTTGGTAAGAACTGGAACGAGATAACCCATCCTTAAAGAGGTTGGGTGATCTGGAGTTTGCATCAGAAACTCTCAATGGACAGATTGAAAGCAGCTCTGGATGAACTTGGGCCTCAACAGGAGGTGGTGTGGGTTGTTTGGTATGACCCAAATGAAAATCATTGTTCTCCTTTTCATTCTTTACTAGAAGATCAGATTCTTCGGAATGTTGTGACGATGTACCATCATCTATAGACAACACAGACAGGGACTTTTCCAGTTTTGAATCACTGTCTTCCATTAACGCAGGGTCATGCTGTCCGACCTGATTAACGCTATACAAATATTGATACAATATGACTATTACAATCAATTAACTTGCATTATACTTTTGTTCGTGTGCGTGCTGTGTGTGACTTTTACTTGTACATATCACACTAATTATACCACCAAAAGAAAATTGTTTCAGCTATCACTAATAATGGCATACAATTGTACAATCAGAAATTAGGAGATCAGAGCAATTATCTATGAATAGCTCCTCCCGACCTCACAATAAATAAATTCAAAGGAAAAAAAAAGTTGGAAACTACTTGGTCTTTGTAGAATCATTACCTCGAAATTTCACTGCCGTCCAAGACAACATCGGTTGGATAGTTAAGCTGGGCACGGCTAGATTAAATAACCATTCAAGAAATGGAAGTTAAGCGAGATAAATTAAGTTAGAACGAAAATTTGATTATAAGGGGCCAGTCTTATCACCATAATCTCAGCACTTGGTCCCATCCATTAACCACGAAGTCCATTTGGTCCAAAAAATTAATGCCTGCAAATATTTCCTGCTTTGAAGCTTTACACCAATAGATCTGCCAAATATTAGATATATGTCAATCTACTGAACTTACTGAAACTGAAAATCTCATCAATCTATCTTTCAAAAATCATTTCCCAGAATGAAACTCGGCAAAGAGACCTTATGATAGAACTCCCGACAGATACAAAATGGAAGGTGGCGAACTAATTTGATAACAGTATCATAAAGAACTCGACAAGTATTAGTGATGCAAGATTCACCAAGAAATTAAAGACCATAGCATCAGGACAAAATTAGTACCTAAAAAGGTTCTTGACGTGTCGTCGGCGACAAGTAAGCATAATGAAACATGTGTGAAACCATAAAATTGAGTATCATTTTCATTTTGTTTGTTAATTAGCTATACTGGGCTAAGAATGTATTCAGAGAATCTATACTATACGTATTTTTTAAGCCTCTTGCGTATAACTCCTCGTGGTTTACAATCATTATATCTCCTGAACAAGTTTGTGTATTTTTCCAATACTCTATTGAAAGATGTACGTTGACAATACAATGTCCTGAACAACTTAACATTTTTTTTGAATAACAGATTAGGGCATCGTGAGATCTGTGTTCCTCTCGGAGGTGTAGAAGAGAAACTAAATCAGAGTCATCGTATCAAGTATCGGAAAAACAGTCCCCATCAGTCAATTAAGATCATGGTTCCTAACATGACATAATAGACAGATCGGTTGTTAATAATCAAACTTCAACATCAAAATGAATATGGGTCGGTCAAGTCAGGAGAATTCGCAAGCCATAAAAGGAAGGATTTTAATATTCTAGTGAACAACATAATTGACTCATAAATGACATGCTTTTTAAGAGAAAGGAAATGTCACTCATTTGTAGAAGTAATAAAAAGGATAAGCAGTTAATACGCCTATGCACTTTTGTTCCAATGAACTAGCAGAACAACTCAACAGATTATAACACCTAAGCACAAGTAATTTCATAAAGCACTTACATCTTCATGATCTGCAAATCAGAGGATCTCGCTAATGAAACTTGAGTACTCATTATATGGCGTCTTTGAAAATAGAGGAGCTGTCACGATAGAAACAACCAATCAAAAGAATAAGGTAACAAGTAAAAGAGGGAGAGAGAAGAAACTTCACAAGTCAACATTTTCTATTGACTGAACATAACTTCCGAAGAAAAAAAGAGAGCAAATGAGATAGTACTATCAAGTATCGTCCAATACAAAAATATGATGCTCTAGAAAAAAGGCAAGGCGGGAGAAAAAACTGATCTACAAACCCTGTACATGCGTAGACCAACTAAACAAACAAATATCCCAGTGGAGCTGAATAGGGTTTTTCCACTTGAATGTAATATAGTTATATTATATGACATGAATTATATACCTTAACATTGGAATTGATCTCAAATAAGAAAAAACTGCCGATCCAAAATGGTTAGCGCTCTTCTATCTTATTTGTATTTTCTTCGTTTACTCCAAACTCTTTCATATGCATTTTCCAATTTCCTTAAGAGAAGTTGGTGTAATGGTGTTACTTTCACAAACTGGATGGGTGAATATTCAGATTTAACACAGAAAACATTAAAGTTGGCTAACAGCCTAATACCACTTCATCTCATGCATACAAGGTACACACTGTGAAAGTATACAAAACTAAATTGCTTTGAACTCATAGACAACAAATTTTGTCTATATGGGGCTAGAACATTGGTATTAAAAACATATACTGCACGAGCCATATGTCAAAGTAATCCATGTCTAAAATTCCTTAACTGCAAAGAAAAGAAAAATTACTTGCCTGCCTCGACTTAATGTAAAGAAATTGCATTATTAACGTGCTAGTTATTCTAACTTACTATTGGTTACCTGTTTATTTATGTGGCTTAAGGATGCCCTTATGTTCGAAGACTTTGAATAAAAAATCTCGATGGAGACATTTGAGATGTTGTATTAACTTTATCCAGTTCATTTGACTGGTCCTGGACCTATGAAATTGTCAGTGCAATCCACGGTGATAATTCCAATACACTCCACAAATAAAACATGCCAACCTCAGTACCTTGAATATCTGAGCGGTGTAACGTACAAGTATATAATATTTTTCTCTTCTCTATAAATGTATGCCTGCACATAAAACGATTTAAGACTCAATTATATCTCAGAAGATAAAAGGTTGAATGCCAAGTTACGTAATATCAAAAACCACAACCCTTCAACACTATCATCAAACACAGCTACACGGTAATTCCGGTCAGAAAAGGCTACCCACAGATTTCAACACCGCTGTCTAAAATCTGAAATTAAGAGGGAAAATACACACACATACATACATATACATAGAGAGTGCAATTTTTTAAGCCAATGCATGCAAAAAATGCTTAAACAGATTGAGAACTGAAGTGGATCGAACACCCAACCAAAATAATTTAGTGAAATAAAATTACAAAAACCTCAGAAGCCCATAGAATTAAACAAACGACAGTGAATAACAGTGAATTATTTCAAGCTGTCAAAACGTAAGCACACAAACACATGTTCCTAACAGAAAATTCGAAACTATAGATTAAACCCTAAGCAATTTGCTCCTTCGACGATTTTTTTTGTATTAATAACAGGAAGAATCATACACGTTTCGATATTATTAACCAAAACAAAAATCGAAGACTGCGTGTGTTCAGTTACCTGTTTGAGGAGATCGTCGGTGACGCAATAGCAATTGCGGAGAGAGATCCAATCGTCGACGTCGCTGTTTCGCATATCGGCGATTAAATTTAACGAAGACGAAGAATTCACCTGCCGCTTCATTTACACGGCGAAGTTCCGGTGTTTCTCGGCCGGAATTGGTTTGTCCGACGCAAACGGAGAGAAGTTTTGAATCTTAATAGTTTATTATCAGCTGAAATTTATATACACGAAAGTTTACTTTACTTGCCAAATTTGCTTTTTGGAAGCTCGCATTAAAGTAATTTTCCTTCTATGAACAATTTTATTACCAAAATAATTTTTGTAGACATTAATAATTTTATAAAATTAATTTTTTTTATAAGCTTGTTGGTAATATTTTTTATTTTAATTGGTAATTAAAAAATTAAAATTGTATAAGCTTAATACTGGACTGTTTTTTTTCATGTACTCAGTCAATAGATTGGGCCATAAAATAATGGGCTTCGCAGAATGAATGACCTAAATTGGGCCATAACATAATGACCTTTCCAGAAAAAAGTCCAATCTCAACCAATTATTTCTGGATGGATTTTTTCATGTTAAGTGTCGTTTCAATTTTACTAATATTATTTTGACTTCGAACGTGATTATGATAATTTTCCAGTCCAATTTTGGCAAATTTGAAAATACAAAAATTGTAATCTTTTGGATTAGATTTCTAATCCAACTTGAATCAGCTAGATTGGACGTCGGATGACAAAATTATGTATGAATGAGTACATTTTAAATTTTAGATAATTCAAATCATCAAAATTGTCGGATGAGCAATGTTCATTGATTCATGAATTTATTTCTCACCCGGATCCAATATTGATGAATTCAAATTGAATTAGAAAGCTAATTCGAAGAACTACAACTTCCGTATTTTGAGTTTTGCCAAATTCAGACTCCTGAACAATCATAATCATATTTAAAGTTGAAACAATATTATTAAATTAAAACGACATTTATCACATCCCATGATTAAACTATATCAAATGCAAACCGTTTATTACAATCATCACAAATTATTCATTAACACTCCATGGATACTGTTAAGAACTAATTTTCTTGATATTATATTATATTAAACTAAACTCATCTTACAAGCTATTTATACACAAATTATAATTAATTACACTTCAACTAATCATCTACCAACTAACCACATAATTATACTAATCTCCTACCTAACAACAACTTAATAAATATATGGGGAAATATGCAATAGCCCCCTCATATGGGAAATATATTGAATTAAACCCAATTGACTTTAAAGACTTTTGTCTACACCCAAATTTCAGTTTTAATTTGTGAGATCCCCCTAAACCTATGTGATAAGACAAAAGTACCCTCAACCACAATAACCCTAAATCCTAATTCTTTTTCTTCCGCTCCCAATCGTCATTCTCGTTCTCATCTGATTTTTTTTTCTCTTTCTCTGTTCTTCATCTCCCAAATCCTAGATCTAATATTTCCACCACTAAAAAATCGAGGAGGCTACAGAAGATTCCGGCGGCAGGAATCGACAATCACAGATGGTAAGGGATTCAAAGGACTAGCGGCAGGACACCGATGGAGATCTAGAAATTACCCCACGCCGCCCATGTTCTCACCACAGCCGCCGCCCTCCGTCGAAATCGTCATCGTCGTCCTTTGTCAAAACCACAATTGCTGAATATCTACAAATTAATCGGTATAATTTTTTTTTTCTCGAATTAATTTGCTGTAAAACTTGTTATGGATCTAAATTTTTAGTTATATTATTTTATTTTATTTTAATTTTTCTTTAGTAAAATGGTTATAATATCATGAAAATTATAATGGCATTGCTGTAAAACTGCAATGGTTATAATTTGGTTTGTTATAATACGTAGATTTGAACTATCATGCATATCATTAATTTTTGTGAGTTTTTGTTTTTTCGTATCCTAGAGCATGTATCTATGCATTTGTATGCATTGACAGTTGTGGATTGGATTGCATGATAAGAGTTGTGATTTATATTTTTTTTCGTGTTTCATGTTGTTTGGGTTTTGGGTTAGATTTGTACACAACTATCACCGTCGCCGTTCGTTGCCGCCGCCTTCTCCTTTTTTTTTTTGTAGTGCTGCATATGTTTAACGATGTAGTCATATTTAACAGAGAAGATCAAACGGAAGATTAATTGCAGTCGGTGCAACCGAGTTGGATACCGCAACAAAAAAACATGTTCGATGGGAGATCACATTAGTTATTTTTGTTTTTTTTAGTCATTTTTTTTCTTTTTGCAATGTATTTTGCTATTGTAAGTTTTTTCAAGTGCTGATTACTTGTAGTCACATTACGCATAACCTAGTCACATAATAGTCATATTCCCACTGTCATGTTCAGTCATTGTTATACAAACCGTAGTCACATAATAGTCATATTTTTCCTGTTTTTGTTAAGAATCATGCTTCTATTGTCTGTTAATTATAAAGTTTTACAAAACACAGTCCCATTCACATAATAGTCATATTCTTACTATTACTTTAATAATTATGCTTCTACAATATGTTAATTACACTAATTATGCTTCTACAATATGTTAATTACACTATTATACACAGCGTAGTCACATAATAGCGTAGTCACATAATAGCCATATTCAACTGTAGTCATATTCGGAGTTGTAAATCTGTCGAGAAAAAAAAATTCAATTTTTTGATTAAAAAAAATTAAAAAAAAATATTTTTTATTAGGAAAAATATTAAAAAATAAAAATAAATTAAAAAATGACTATAAAATCCGAAAATAATAAAAAATAAAAAATAAAAAATAAAATATTTTTTTGATTTGGTAGCAAATTTATAGGAATTTGGAAGCAGATTTTTAGGAATTAGATTATTGTTATGGAAAGAGAGAAAAAAGGAATAATTGAGACTAATTATGCTAATTGACATAAGGGTAAAATTGGAAATACAAATTCTAGGGGTTTATCACAAAGAAAGATTTAAGGAGTGGACATATCACCATTTATTATCTATATGAGGGGTTTATTGCTAATGACCCCTAAATATATATCTTCCAACACTCCCCCTCAAGCTGGAGTATATAAGTCAAATACTCCAAGCTTGCAACAAATATAATGACCTCGATGTCCCCTGAGGGGTTTTGTGAATATATCTGCTACTTGATCATTTGAGCTGACAAATTCTGTGACAATTTCTTTAGAAATGATTTTCTCTCGAACAAAGTGACAATCGATCTCAATGTGTTTGGTTCTTTCATGAAACACGGGGTTAGATGCGATATGAAGAGCCGCTTGGTTATCGCAACATAACTTCATTTTTTGAGTGTCTCCAAACTTTAATTCTTGAAGAAGCTGTTTAATCCAGATTAACTCACACGTGACTATGGCCATAGCTCTATATTCAGCTTCGGCGCTGGATCTTGCAACAACATTTTGTTTTTTACTTTTCCATGATACGAGATTTCCACCAACAAAAACACAATATCCTGATGTAGAACGCCTATCAATAGGAGAACCTGCCCAATCTGCATCGCAATATCCAGTAATTAGAGTATTCCCTTTATCTTCGAAAAGTAACCCTTGTCCTGGTGCCTTTTTGATATATCTCAAAATCCTTATTACTGCATTCCAATGATCTTCACATGGGGCTTGCATGAATTGACTTACAACTCCAACGGCAAAGGAAATATCCGGTCTTGTGATAGTAAGATAGATAAGCTTTCCGACCAATCTTCGGTACCTCTCGGGATCATAATAAGGCTCCCCCTGATTTGGTAGAAATTTATGGTTTGGATCCATAGGACTGTCGATTGGCTTACAATTTTCCATGCCGGTTTCTTTAAGTATATCCAATGCGTACTTCCTTTGTGATATAGCAATTCCACTTCTTGATTGAGCCACTTCTATTCCAAGGAAATATTTCAATTTTCCCAAATCCTTGGTCTGAAAATGGCCAAACAAATGTTCTTTCAATTGGGAGATTTTCTCATGATCATTGCCAGTAATGACAATATCATCAACATACACTACAAGGTAGACACATGTATTAGGAGAAGTATGGCAATAAAATACCGAGTGATCTGCTTCGCTGCGCCGTAATCCGAATTTCTGCAAAACTGAAGTAAATTTTCCAAACCATGCTCGTGGGGATTGTTTTAGCCCGTAGAGAGATCGCTGAAGCTTGCAAACTAATCCCGACTCCCCCTGAGCAACAAAGCCAGGCGGTTGCTCCATATAAATTTCTTCTTCTAATTCCCCATGAAGAAAGGCATTTTTAATATCTAACTGGTACAATGGCCAATGACGAATTGCTGCCATGGCAAGAAATAAACGAACCGAGGTGATTTTTGCCACAGGAGAAAAAGTATCCCCGTAGTCAAGACCATAAATTTGTGTATATCCTTTCGCCACAAGACGAGCTTTTAGACGATCAATTTGTCCATTCGGGCCAACTTTCACAGTATATACCCAACGGCAACCAATAGTGGTTTTTCCTGGAGGAAGAGAGACTAACGCCCATGTCTCATTTTGTTCAAGAGCTTGCATTTCTTCAATCATGGCTTGTCTCCATCCTGGATGGTCAAGTGCTTCTCGAACATTTTTGGGAATGGAAACAGAAGATAAAGATGATACAAAGGCAAAATAGGAAGGAGACAAACGGTGATAACTTAGAAAATTATAAATAGGATGGGGATTACGAGATGATCGATTACCTTTTCTAAGAGCGATAGGTAACTCATTGTTACTGGGGTCGGTAGTAGAGGCGGTTGGTGGAGTAGGACATGAATCATCTGGTCGTGCAACCTCTTCTACTACTGGTTCGGAAACTTGTGCGTGTCGTTGGTATGTAATAAGCGGTAGAGATGACTCAACTGTAGGACATTCAATGGGAACCTCTGTTGATGGAATTAGTTCCGGTGGGCTCGAGTATGGAATGTAAAGAACTTCAAATATTGAATTAGATTCATCTAAGGTGGAGGAGAAAAATAACTTATTCTCAAAAAATGTAACATCTGCAGACATATAGTAACGTTTATTTACAGGAGAGTAACATCGATACCCCTTTTGTACTCTGGAATATCCAAGAAAGACACACTTGATAGCTTTGGCAGAGAGTTTGTCTAAGCCTGGAGAGAGATTATGGACAAAACAGGTACATCCAAAAATACGAGGATCAATATGAAACAATGGCTCGTTAGGAAATAAAATAGAATAAGGAATCTTATGATCGAGGGATGAAGAAGGCATTCGATTTATTAAAAAACAAGCAGTTAAAACAGCATCACCCCAAAAATTAACAGGCATTTTTGCATGAAGTAATAATGTTCGTGCAGTTTCAACTAAATGCCTATTTTTCCTTTCTGCAATCCCATTTTGTTGGGGTGTGTGAGGACATGTTGACTGATGGATGACACCTTTTGACGACAAAAAAGAGGAGAAGGCTGAAGAAAAATACTCTTTCGCATTATCACTCCGAAAAACTTTTATTTTTTTATTAAATTGGGTTTCAATTTCGTGATAGAAGGAAGTAAAGATGGAAAATATTTCAGAACGTTGTTTCATTAGAAAAACCCAAGTACATCTTGAAAATTCGTCAATAAAGGTTACAAAATACTTGAAACCAAGAGTTGTGGATACGCGACTTGGACCCCATATATCGGAATGAATAATAGAAAAGGGAGAATCAACACGACTTCTTACCTTTTTTGAAAAAGAAGATCGACTATGCTTCCCTAACTGACATGACTCGCAAGACAAAGACTCTAATTTATGAAGATTTGGGATCATTTTCTTCAATTTTGACAAGCTTGGATGACCTAAACGTTCATGAAAAAGATTGGGAGACGTTTTTGTAGCACATGTTACCGAACCAGTTGATCGAAGGTAGTAAAGACCTTGAGATTCATGTCCTACGCCAATCATCCGACCCGTACCACGTTCCTGTATAACAAATGAATCAGCATCAAAGGTAACAGAACAATTAAGAGAACGAGTGAGTTGACTAAGAGATATTAAATTAAATGGACAACCAGGAATAAACAACACAGATTTTAGAGGTACAGAAGGAGTGGGTGAAGCTTGACCAATTCCTTTGGCAATAACTTTAGATCCGTCTGCTAGAGTAATAATATAAGGAAATTTAGGCTGAGAGATAGAAGAGAACAAAGAATTATTACCAGCAATATGATCGGAAGCACCTGAATCGATTATCCATGAATTTTGATTATTACCAGACTGAGAAATGCAAGCTGTTGAATTATGAGCATTGGTAGTGGTGGAAATCTGAGCTGTCTGAGCTTGATTAGCAGCTTTTAGTTCAAGATATTCTTTATATTCAACCTCCGAAACTGTTACATCTGACTTTGCGACATTTGCAATCTTCTTGGGAAACCCATGGAGAGAGTAGCATGTTTCATGTGTATGGCCCATTCTTTTACAATGAGTACATTGCGGCCGCCCACCTTTTCCTCCTCGTCCTCCACGATTAGCATAACCACCTCGTCCTCGATTAGACACCATTGCAGAAGCTTCGGGAAAGTCAGTCGGCCTACTTTCAGCTTTTGTAGATGGGACTCGCAATAGCCGAGTGATCAAACTTTCCATCGAAGGAACCTCCTGACTAGTTAAAATTTGATCTCGTATATGATTGAAATCGGAATTCATTCCACGAAGAATCAACACCATATACAAGTTATCGAGTTTTGATTGTATACCTGCAACACTATCAGCTTCCAAAAATATTTTAAGCTCTTCTACTGCAGATTGGGCTTTAGTAACATACGAAATCATATCATGATCCAATTGTTCAAGACTCGTCAATCTTTGCACAGAATCATACAATCGTTGAATATCATTAGCAAAGACATTTTGAGCCTTTTTCCAGAATGAATAACAAGTTTTAAAGGCCCTGAAATTTGCTAAGATATTTGACTCCACAGATTGCCATAATAAAGCACAAAGCTGAAAATCAAGTTTCTCCCACTGTTTACGATTATCTTCTGGGATTTGATCTGAGTTTTTTTTCTAAATGGTCATAATGCCCTTGACCAAGAAACCATAACTCAATCGAAGAAGACCATGCCAAATAATTTTTTCCATTAAGTTTTTCACAAGAAATAGTGGGGGTTCCAGAAATAGCAAATGATGTAGCTATATTCCCACTAGAATCTTTTGAGTCTTTTGCAGCCATCTTCAAGTTTTTTTTTTTTTTTTTTTTTTTTAATAAAGAAATCCAAAAAAAAGGAGAAATA